GTACTAGACTTAATGGGGCTCTTACTTTGTAAGTTATAAGTCTAATCACTATATTTTGTACCTGAAACTAATAAACTATTCTATGTCTACTGTAATTTTAAAATAAATGTTTTTAAAAGTGTTCAATAAATGTGTGTGTGGGGAGAGAGGGAGAGGGATGGATCTCTAAGGCAGCTAGGAACTCTGAGGGACAGTGTATAAATTCACCAGCCTAGTGTGTGATAAAGGGCAGGTTTTTCCCTCCAGGGGCCTCAACTTCCTGCCCTGTGGGGAGGTACTGACAGAATTCAAGACCTTAATTACTCGGAATTTTCTCATAAGGGTGATTATTGCATCAGCTTCCTTTTTATCTATTTATCCTTTCCGCTTTAGGCGATGTACTGTGAGCAGGATAAAAACATGGAAGAAGACACAAGTCCTTGTCCTTGCAGATTTTAAATCCCTGAAGGAAGAGCAGACAAGAAGCTGATGTAGTAATTGCCCTGTTATAACCACTGAGAGGGCCCAGCCTTGCTCTGAGGGAGGCTTCCTGGAGGGGCTGATACTCAAGGGATGAGAGAGAGCCTGAGGCTGGTGAACCACTGGCTGGGTGTTTCAGGCAGAGTGCACAGTGTGGAGGCTTTGGACACAAAGATTAAGGAGGGCAGTATAAGTGGGTCAGAAATGGGAAGGAAAATGAGAAAGAAGGGCATTGCAAGATGACTGCCTTCTCCCTCCAGCCTTCTCAAAGTCCCCTTCCAGGTCAGTGCCTCTCCAGTCTTGGACCGTGGACCATCTACAATAGATGGTGAGGCCCTAGCTGGTTTGGCTCAGTGGATAGAGCGTCGGCCTGCCAAAGGAAGGGTCCCAGGTTCAGTTCTGGTCAAGGGCACATACCTGGGTTGCAGGCTCGATCTCCAGTAGTGGGCATGGGGGAGGCAGCCAAATGATGATTCTCCCTCTCTCTTCTTCTCTGAAATCAATAAACATATATTTTAAAAAATAGATGGTGGGGTGGGCCTACTCACCTATTGAATCAGAACCTCTAGAGAATATGGCCCCAAAGGCATTTTTATAAAACTCCGAAAGGCAAATCTGTGCGATCATTGTTGTGACTGCTTACTTCCTAAGGACACTTGAAATGAAATGTTCCTTCAATTTTTATTCTAGTATTTAAAAGAAGGAACCATTTCAATAACACTGAAAACGCTAAATGCAGGCTGCTGATGGCAAAGGAATGTAGGTTTTGTTTCTGGAGGGAACTTCTTCCCCATAATCTGGTGCCATTTCTCTCTTAGTCCGTGTCTGTCCACTGTCCTCTGTGCAGATGTTCTTCACTCTGCTCTGACCTTCTCCATCTGTCTCCACACTCCCTTGTTTCTGTCATTACTTCCTGTTCTCCACCTACTGTCTTCCCGCTGACTTCCTTGACTGCTCCTCCAGTTCATGAGCTTCCTTCTCTTCACTTTCTCATCTTCACTTAGACCTGCTCCACCGCTGGAGCCTTGACTCCCTGAATTCTCATGCATTCAGTGAGACTTTCTCTGGAGCCCACTGTGGTTTTATAAAAAGATGTGCTTTTACTTGTGGATTCCTTTTTTCTGGGCACCTTATAATTTAAATAAGCTCCTGAAAAATGCCATTAAAATTAATCATGCTCATGCATATTGAAGAGGGAAAAATAACATCAGCACAATGGCAGTTCTTTCTGGGCCAATAGAACAACTGAAGCATTGGTTAAAAGGGCTGTCACAAGTAGCAGCAGAGACATGGCTTGTGTGCATAATGAAAGCCAACATCTCTGCCTATAAATTCAAAAATCTGTAATCCACTAAAAAATAACGGAATGAAATCCATAAATGCCCTTTATTTCATCATCGTAATAGTGATTTTCATTTCTGACATGCAGGCAGCATGAACTCAAATACATTATTCATGGAAATTAGGGTTGTTTCTTTAAAAATTCTACTCAGTTCTGTGGGTTATAATGAGTTTGTATTTGTCAGATGGGTTTTTATGCTTAAAAGAAAAGGTGATGACAAACAACCATTGGAATTGCTGGGTGCACCACCCATGCCTCTTTAGCAGCTCAGGCCCTTAGAGAAATCAGCGTGGATGTGAAAACCAGTACATTCTTTCACTGCTAGCAGCCACTGCTGGGATGCAAGAGAAGGTGTGTGGGCTTATTCTTTGTTTTCATTCTTGAGACGATTAACTTAGGAAACAGCGTAGGCAGTGTGTACTAAACCCAAAGTTTGCTCATGGAGTTTTAGAACTCAACAGTGTGTGCAGGTTTATGAGAAGCGTTACACTGTTAACTCCCAGTTCATAGAAGATGCTGTCACACCTGGCCTTCATTTTACTAATGGTGAAACTGAGGCTCGCATTTCTTTGGCAAATAGGTAGTAGTATAATCCCCTTCCCACAGAGAAACAAACGAAGGCTGTGGAGTAACTTGTCCAAGGTCATGCAGCTTTTACATCACCAAGTCAGGACTTGAAGGCGATTTGTCTACATCCACCTCGGTGCTTCATTCTGATACCAGGCAGCAGAATGCGTTCCAATATCACTATTTGCCTGTGGCCAGTGTGAACGTGAAAACATTCAAACCTGTAAGAACTTTTGTGAGTTTATTTGAGCCAAACTGTTGACAATCACCGGAAAGCAGAATCTCAACGGATTGGGATAATGCTCTGGAGAAGAGCAGTTTTTCACCTTGTTTTATATACATTACCATCAAAGAAGGAGACAGTGGTTTACATGGAATCCATTGGCGATAGATTAGGGAAGCAGGAGAAAGCAAAATGTGTGTTTGGGGGATACCTCTGGGATTGGATAAAAAGTAAAAAGATAGACACTTCTTTTACTTAGGTGGGTGCAGGGCAGTGAACAGTCAACAATTAATATAACAGTAAGAATAAAGGAATTTGTGCATTCTGTTCCAGGGCCCAGAGCATTTGGTTGTGTCCTTTGGGGTCTGGGGGCGAAAAAAGGGAAGTTACAAGTAACCCTAACATTTCAAGGATATGTTATCTATGTTATCGTAGATGAAAAAGACAATAGGCTCAGTTAAGGCAAAGGCTGACCTTGTCAGGGAAGATACCACCTGAGACTTGGCTACCCACTATAACTGCTTTAGTTAAAGTTTTAACTTCAGACCATCCTTTATGGTGACTTTAGGCCTCTGAGTTTGCAAGACCACCACACAGGCCTTCCCTGAGCTTGTCAGGTTAGCATGTGGCCCCTTTTGTCTACATCAGTCTCTGTTCAAGCGATCTGCATTGCCATTTTGGCAGAGAAAAAGCATAGACTAGCTGTCTATTTGCCCTCAGTCAACGTTTCTATGTCACAGCTGACCCAGACCCCTCGTAGAAAATGGGTTTTGCACCAGTGTGTCCAGGTTCTCTGGAAGCAGCATTTAGTCACCCCTGCACCCACAATTTGTTAGCTTTTTCTTCTACATTTAGGAACCCAATGGAGGCAAGCAGAGTAATCTGTCTCTTGAGTTACCAAATAACTTGAGAGTTTGTCTATGGCTTAGTTTGCCTTTTTTTTTTTTTTTTTTTTTTTTTTTTTAGTTCTCAAACTAAAAAACAAAACAAAACCTTTGTTGACGAAAAGGGGCCACAAGCTAACCTGGCTAACTCAGGGAAGGCCTGCATGGCGGCCTTGCAAACTCAAGAGACCTAAAGTAACCGCAAACGCTGGTCTGAAATTAAAACCTTTTAGGTAAAAAGCAGTTTATAGTGGTAGTCATGTCCTAGGCCAGTGTCTTCTCTGACAAAGATCAACTATGATCTTTAGTGAGCCCATTGTATTTTGGCATCTAAGATAACATACCTGAAGAATATCAGGCTTTGCAAATTCCCTTTTTTTCTGGACTCCTCAGGGCAAATTTTCTCATTGTTATCATGTTAATCATTGATTGTTAACTATCCTGTACCCACCTGTGTAAAATAAATATGTGTCTATCTTTTTAGTTTTTATCCAAACCCAGATGCTTCCCTGCTTTGCTTCCTCAGGCCTCCCTAATCCATCACCAGTGGAGTTCATGTGACCCACTTATGTCTCCTCCTTTGATTTTAATGTCTAAAACTGGGTGAAAAACTGCTCTTCTCCAGAGCACTATCTCAATATCTTAAGGTTTCACTTCCTGGCAGTTTGGCTCAAATAAACTCACAAAAAATTCTTTCGGGTTTGAATATACTACATACACACACACACACACACACACACACACACACACACACACATATATATATATATATTTACGTTAACATGTACCTACTGGAAAGGTTGCTATGTTGGCTGAATTAGTTCATATCTGTAAAGTGCTTGGCAGGCACTGGACATATTTGCCACAATACTTTTTATTGCACATCAGTGTTCAAAGTTCGTAAACTCCAAATGTCTGTCTGCTCTTGGGATGGTGAAGGCAGGGCTTCCAATCCTTCAGTCGTTTAGCATTCACCATCCATTAAAGATAAAGAAAAGGCTTGCTCATGTGCAGAGGGTTTCCAACAACCTCACCAGGTCCTCGTGCTCCCTTTTCCTTCCAGTCTCAGCTCAAACGTCGTCAGGCCAGGCCAGGCTCAGTGACCCAGGAGTTGACCAGAGGTCACTGGGAGGCCAGGTCAGCCGTGGGCAGGTCCGCGGAGCCCTTCCTGCAGCCAGCAGCAGTCCCTTGTCCCCAGGTCCCCGGGGACAAGTGAAGCCGCAGGGTCGCAGGGCTGGGGGCGGGATCTGCATTTGCTCAAAACTGCACCCGTAGCACAGCGCCAACCACCCGCCTCTGAAGCGGCTTTGGGGCCGGGGCTGGGGACCGCGGCCCCGGATGGCAGGGAAGCTGCGCCAGAGCTCCCCCACCCAGTGCGGCCGGCACACCGGGCAGGGCACGTGGCGGGGGCGGGGCATTGTGGGCGGAGCTGGCCCTTGTAGGCGGGGCCTGGCCTGGCCTTGTGGGCGTGGCCTTGGCGAGGGGGCGGAACAAAGGGGCTGGCGGGCCCGCCTCCGGCCTCCCCGCCTCCGGCCTCTCGTCCCCCCGGCCTCCCCGCCTCCGGCCCCGCTCCCCGTTCCTGCTAAGATGGCGTCCCTGGCGGCTGCGCGGGCGCTTCTGCGAGACCTGGCGCTCCGGCCGCGGCTCCTGGCGGCCAGGTCGCAGGTGAGCGGGGCGCTGGCGGAGCCCGCTGCCCGGTCCCCTCCTGCTGCCCCGGGGGCGCGGCGCGCGGTGCTCGGTCCGGGCGCTCGGGGGACCCGCACCCGACGCGGCGCGGGCCGGGCCGAGGAGGTGGCGGCCGGGGTCCGGGCTGGAGCCGCCGTGTCCCGCGGCGCCGGCGGCCCGAGCTGAGCGCTCCCGCCAGCGGAGGGAAGGCCCTCCCGCCCCGGAGCCCGAGGCGCGACCCGCTCTCCGGTCCGCGCCCGAGCTCCGGCCACGTGGGCACCCGCCGCAGCCCGTCCAGCCCGCTCCGCGCAGCCGCCCCGTCTGCAGGCTGGGCGCCGGGCCGGCGGGAAAGTCAGTAAAAAGCAGTTCCGTTACGAACACACGTCGGAGCACCGGCTTCTTGTTCACAGAGAGGGAAAGCCCTGGGCCTGGGTGCAGAGAGGCGGCTGGAGCTCGGCGTCCAGGGGCGCTGACCACCCTGGGGAGGGGGGGGCCTGTGATGGGACTCGGAGGAGTCCCTCAGCCACCGCCCCGCCCCCTCCCTTCCCTCCTGTACAGAAAGCACAGCAAAGCCACTTCCTTGTCCACTTTCCCACTTTTAAGTGATGAGAAGCAAGTGGGCACCCGTGCACTGTTAACCAGGACATGCACAGTATAGTTTTTAAGAAAATTTATTAGCACCACGCTCTAACCAACTGAGCTAACCGGCCAGTCAGTTTTTAAGAAAATTTAAAGATAGCTACTAATGAGTTTTTGAGTTACTCTAAGCTTTGTCTAATGCTGACATCTGCGAAGTTTTTTTTTTTTTCCTCTTTCATTTCCTGACTTCTCATTTCTCTCTTTTTGTTAATGTAAATTTAAAAGGTGCTAATACTTATTACTGTGATACCCTTACTAGGCACTTGACAGTATGGTGGGGTGGTGGAAGGTGCGGTGGTTTTGTCTAATTGAAATCACTAATAACTGGGAATATGGGGTGAGGGGAATGCCTCCAGGTGATCAAGTCCTGTTCATTGGGTAGGTGTGACAGAAAACAAGACTGAGGTGCCAACTGTGAGCGTAGGTCTGACTTGGTAAGAAGTGGGCTTAGGGTATGAACATTCAAGCAAATGAAGTAGTTACTCAGAGAAACGGGTGTTTAGCTGACATGTAGGACTTCTTGCTTGCCTAACCAAGAAATGGGAGCCCGAGCACAGCCCTTGAGAACCTGCTTGGGGAGAGCTACCCTTGGTTTTGCAAGAAAACTCGGTAAATAGTTCTCCAGCCTCTTAATTCCGTCCGGTAACCTTGATTTAGTGACCTGCCCAAAGCTGTTGAGTTGGTGAACCGCATGTTCCTGAATCGCATGTTCCTGACTGCTGTGCACTCCATTTGGATCCAGCTAGTCTGGCTTTGAAACTCTCCATGGCACAGTTTAGATCTACCTGGTTAGGAGTCTTCTCTCAGACCTAAATCCTGGTAGATAGACCTTGAATAGCCAGGACAGGGCGCTGTGGGACATGGCAGCTGATAAAGCAGGCCCAGCCATGGCGTGAGATTAATCCGCTCCATACCATAGCTCGTGGCTTAGCGGACACCTTGGTGAGGGCGCTGCGTTTAAATGGTTAGTCGTGATTCTAAGTGTGGTCTGGTTGCCCCTGGAACAGCTGGGTGAAGTCCACAGAGCTGATCTGTCAGAGGACCGGAGACAGGCATTGTGGGAAACTCCTCCCGCCAGGCCGCAGCCTGGAGTCCTTGTTTTATGCTTCTCCCCGGAGCCCAGAGCTGCTGTCTGGACCTGGGAGAGAGGTGTACGTGGTGGAAGGAACTTGTAAACTCTAGAATGATGGCTGCCGCTCCTCTGTCTGCCCTTCACGGAATGGCTGGTGGGACTGATGTGTGCCAGTCTTTAGGGAAGGACTGAAGGTCATGTGCCTGTTCCTATCAGCTCAATGAGGCTGTGGAGCCGCACTGAGGTTGGGACTTCACCTGGACCTGCCTTCTTGCCTAGAAGAGAAAGGAAACGTGTCTCAGATAATGTAGACGCTCCACTATTAACCTGTGAGGGGAAGGCCTGAAGGCAGAGCTCCTGGGTCAGATTGGTGTTGTTTCCCGTAAATGAAACATTTCTGTGGGGGCTGGTGGCGCTCCCAGGCCCACAGGAGGGAGGGCTTTGCTGCCCTTGTCCCCTGGCCCAGTTCTGCCGGCACGGTGCCCAGAAAGGAGCTGAAACTCTGTGTATTTTGGAGAGGGACAGAAATTGCATAAGTAACCCCCGATCATTCGCCCTTGACCTCTCTTTACCGCGCAGTCTGGAGTTGCCAGTTGATACGTTGCTTTCTTTTATTTGATGGAAATGTTTTGTCTGAAGAGCTTAAGAGATGTGTACATGTTTGAGCAAATGGTAAAATCAATACACTAATGAGATTTTAGGAGACAGTACCAGGAGTCAGTCTGGTGAAGAAGGTGGAGGCGGGAGGCATTGCAGACAGAGGGCTGCGTGTGTAGGCCGAGGAGAGAGAACAGGGGAGCCAGAGGGGCCATTGCAGACAGTTTGCTCTGGGCAGTGCAGGTGAGTGACAAGGTGAGGGACCACCCAGGTAACTTGGGCGAGGGAGGGAGGAAGGGCCGGAGGAAGTGCAGTTGTGAAAGGGCTTTCGTAATAATGACAGGCGTAATCATTCCTCTGTGGCAGGCTGTGCAGCACTGTTTCTGCACGTTGTTTCTTAGCCCTGAGAGCATTCCTGCAGGAGAGATTGTCCTGCCTTCACATTGCATGTCAGGGAGCAGAGGCACAGGGGCTCACATGGCCACTCGCTTAAAGTCACAGTGCGCCACTCACCTGCCTTTGCTGATAAGCACCTGCTGCTCCTGTTTGGGCTGTTTGGGCTGACATTCGGTTACAGTGTACACAATGCTCACCTTTCCCCTGCCTTTGCCCCAAGTGGAGTGCTGGGATTGTGCTGACTCAGGTGCGGTGCTATCACCGCTGAGTAGCTGTCCCTGCTCCAACCGCCCCCCCCCCCCCCATCCCGTGTGTGTCTCCCCCCCCCCCCCCCCCCCCGTCCCTGGCTTTGGGGTCTGGGAAACAGTAACGAAGGAGAAAAGGGAATGAGTTCTATGTTCAAATAGAACCAAGTTCAAATTCTGGTCTGCTCGGTTCTTGCTCTGCAAATTACTGAACTTGATAAAACCTCAATTAGTTCTTCTCTGAAAGGGCATAATTCTCACAGATGGTCACGAAGATCAAGTAGGATGATGTGTATGACATTTGGCATTATGGATAGGTAGTGGGTGTAGCAGTGATTTCTCCCAGTGGATTTGAAGCTAAGTTTGCATTTTTAAAGGTTTATTAAACTAGAATAATTTTCATTTCCCAAATTGATAAAGTTATTTTTGCTGCTATATCGGGGTTAGGCACTGGCTTGGGATTTCTGTTTTATTTCATTTAATCCTGGCTACAACCATGTGAGACAGGTGATTATTCTCAGTTTACATCCGGGGGACCTGAGGGCAGAGAGTTGGAGCCCCGGGTCTGAGAGGGGATTGGTGACAAAGCCGTCACCCGCGGAGCTGCGGGACGCTGTTCCACTGATGGCGCCAACGTCTGATGAGGCTCAGGGTGGCAGCGGGGAGGGCCCCGGGCCAGGCTGCTCAGTTGCACCAACCTTGCTGTTGCTCATTCCAGAAACATTTGCACATCCTGGTGTTGACTTAGCAGCCACGGCTCCGGACCTCACGTGCGTCAAAGATTTGAAGGGAGGAGGGGCCACGTAAAGAACAAACTAATCACAACCCGCCCCAAAGGGCTCGGTCCATGCCCTTCACTGCCTGCCCAGCACGGAGCGGCCTTCAGGGCTGCAGGGACGCGGGAGGAGTTGTGAACTCGCATTGCTCTGCAGGGTAGACGTGGGCCATGGAAACGAGGGTGGTGTTTCCCGGTGGCCCGAGTGCAGACCTTGATCAGTGTGCTGGCTAGGCGGCCAGCTGTGGCCCTTTTCTAGAAACTATTCCAAATGAGTAGCACTTAGGCATTAGTCTTGAATAGAAGGTTTCTAACATTCACCTTTAACATTTATTGTTATTTTAGAAATGGGAAGGATTTGCTGGAAAGTTGAACTGATATTGCAAACGGGGCAACGCACAAGAGGAGGTGTGTAAGCTTTCTCCATGTGCGTGTCCCGTTTCCATCCCTGGGCTGGCTGTCCACGGCTGTGACTCCAGGGCCCGGGGGAACCTCGGGGCTGCCCTGTAAGGTTTGAGGGTGGGGGGCAGTGAGACAGGAGGCTGGAGACATGAGCAGGGGCAACATTCTGTGAATCTGGAAATGGAGTTAGGGCTTGTTCTGCGGGCAGTGGGAGCCATTGAAGGTGTTAGATGTTGGGATCATGCAGTTTTGCGTGTTAGGGTGTTTTTCTGCATGTTGCTCAGTGGGCGGGAGGAATGACAGAACGGAGATCACTTAGGGGACTCCCAGCCACTCGGTGCCATTCGTCATTACACCAGCACAGTAGGCTGGAAGCAGGACTGCAGCCAGGTTGCCTGCGTTCAGATCTTGCCTTTGACACCGATTACCTTTGTGTTCTCAACACTTAACGTTTTCTTACAAGACTCACTTACTTTGTTTTCTGATTCATTTATAGTTTTATTTTATTTTTTATTGAATTTATTGGGGTGACATTGGTCACTACAATAGGTTTCAGGTGTACATTTCTATAATACATCATCTAAGACTCCCTTTCTTCTTTCTCACATTTCCGCCTCTCTGAGAACTGGAGGTGTTTGTACACTCGTGTCATAGATTGGTTGACAGTTTTCCCCCTCCAATGGCACATAAAATGGGAGAAGATGGGGCTTGAACTAAAATTAGGGTGACAAAATAATTTATTTCCAAATTGGGATACTTTTGAGTGTGCGCTTGAACACTGAAATATTTCACCTGGACAACAGGTGTAACCAGATTGCCCCTGAAAACAGGTTTATAGCCACTGAACCAAAATGCACCCGGTGGTGGTGATGGG